GAGGTGGGACAAAGAGAATCAGAACTCAGATATGTAACATACTCCCCTGGAACGATGTCTAGAATTTCATTGTTAATTATGTCAACAACTTCATTCCTTGCTGTTAGTATAGCTCTTTCCTCTAAATACTCTTCATTTGAGTAATTCTGCATCAATCTAGGATATGTAGACGATATAACCGCATCAATCGGATTACCATTCGCATGAATTATAAAATTATCTGGTATCTCAACTAAAAAATCCTGATCATGAAATGCATTTTTCTTACACATGTTATCTCCATTTCCAATATCAAGTACCCACTTACTAAAGTCAGAGGTAGACATTGTAGTACTTTCATTCACTTGTGTTTGCAATCTCATATTCTTAGTAAGTGTTAAAACTTTACAGTCCCTCCATAAATATGAACAACTGATAGAAGCATGTAAGATATCATGTTTAGATCCTTTTGGAATAACCGGAAGTATTTGTCTGAAGTCGCCCCCAAGCACAAATGTCTTTCCACCGAAAGGTTTGTTTACATTTTCAGAACATTCTGCTCCTAATATATCTTTGAATGTTCTATCGACAGCTTCAAAAGCATGTTTGTGGACCATTGGAGCCTCATCCCAGATTATAAGACTTGTCATCTTGATTAATTCAGCTTCAGGACTACCTATTTTGATTCCACAAGTCGAATTATTTTTTAGAATGATGGGAATATTAAATCTAGAATGTGCTGTCCTGCCTTTAGGAAGTAATATTGATGCTATTCCTGATGAAGCAACTGGCAATACAATTTTTCCTTCTGATCGTAATTTAGAAATAATTGATTTCCAAAGATAAGTTTTTCCAGTTCCTCCATGCCCATATATGAAAAATAATCCTCCCTGTTCTTTATATACAGACCCAAGTATAGTGTCATATATAACTTTTTGATCAGTGTTCATTCCTTGAATAAACTTCTCATTTTCACATCTTAACTCACCCCTGATAAAATTTAATTCTTCACTAATAATCTTGTGCTTGCATTGCTGCATTATTTGTAGATCTGGTAAAGGCATCCCTTTGAAATTTTTTAAGCTTCTTCCATTTTCAAGCAATAAATACTGAATTTCAGCTAAAGTATAACTTTGAAGTTCCTGTTCTGACATTGTTAAGGTAGGCATGTCAAGAATATTTCTCTGATCTTCCAATATACCTTCAGCCATATACTTCCAGTTATTTTCCCATAATATTTGTGGATTCACAACTTCACAAAACAATAATAATTTGGCAAACAATTGCCTAAATTGTTTTCCAGAAGCAACATAAGAAGCCTCATCCAAAACATATTGCCATTCTTGGTCATTATTCAATAATCGCCAAGCTTGACATGCTTCTTTGAATGTTGGATAAACTATTCCATCTTTAGTTTTAATGTCATCAAAGGATGTAGGTCCTTTTACAACATTAAGAAGCAACCTGAGATAAAATCTCTCACCTGCAGTTGGATGAGAATAAACAACCCTGCCAATACTACGACCTTTTTCCCTGATTTTCCATCGTTTCTCATTAGCTAACCAAACAAAATGTGAAGGAAATTCTGAGTATGTGAGTGTTTTACTTTCATCATACAACTTGTTTGCTTCCATCCAGCTAATAAATTTCGATTTCTTTGCATGAATATTATCAATAATTTCATTAAGATCATCTGAGTCTTTGAAAATCATTGACTGTTGATCAGGAAGGTGAAATGGGAGCCTCTCCACAGTAGGAATTCTGTAATGTATATAAAATCCGTAGATTCTCCAAATTGCTTCCGGAGCTGAGATGTATCGACAATCTAAATAATATTGTATCTCATCTGTCTTTTCATGGTTATTTGAACCGCTTGAACTTGATTTATGTGATCGTAGAGATATGGAAGCATGATCAGGCCCCTTAGTTATATACTTAAAGAGATATTTTATTGACCTACCTCGGTTACACCATTCGACATTAATGTGCGATTGATATTTAACAATAAGATTCCGATTATAAGGTACGACATAAGCATTGTCCAACTTTGTACCATTTTTATCTACCCATCTATTATTATCATTCCTTCGTCGGTATACAGCAAAACCTGACTCATCAATTACAGTCTCATTGACATACTTCTTTGGAAAGTGTTTTGAGCAATTTCCCTTTCTCATACATGGGGAGCTTGTATTAAATATGCCACATGGACCGTGCATCATATATTGTCCAACTGCTGCATATCCTACTGGATCTGTTTCTCTATCGGGAATCTCAGCGCTGATTATCTTATTAATAGCATCAGAATCTGGATATTTACTATTAGGATCCAACCATAGCAAGATATGTGCATGTGGCAATCCCCTTTTCTGAAATTCAATAGTGTATACGGCTGCATATATCAAGCCAAACACTAATAAGACAAATGTCATGACTGGAAATATAACTTCATATACACACACACACATGTGTATATTTATATTAATATGTAGTTATTAAATAAAATATGCATTTACTTATCAGGTTTGGTATGTT